GGCGACCTCAGCATACATAGCTTGTGATCCGGGAGGCGCATGATGCGAGCCAGGGGTACTGGCGCTTCCGCCAGGCGTGTTTGCGTTAGGGCCGGATGAGTCGGAAGGTACTGATGGTTGTTCTTGCGGAAGTCTCGATATGGAGTCAGCCCGAGGCCGCAATTCAGCTTGAGACGGTACGAAGGGCAGGGATTTTTTGGGGTCGGTCATGAAGACATAATTCGTAGGAGCTGAATCGTCAGAACTGATAGGTGGGTAACCCAGACGAGGTACAGGTGGGGAAGTATCGACGCCGAATTGATACGTCTGATTCAGTTGTCCTTCCTGGGAGACAGGTATGATATTCGTCGGAGGCGAGGGTTCATTAGTACTGCCGAGCGCCATGGCTTGTCCGTCGAATGGAGGGTACGGATACTGGATATGGGGCTGTGATGCGAAAGTCGCAGGGTATATTGGTTGAGGTGGCGTAGGTAGGTAACCGTTAAGATCCTGTTCATTCGATATGGGTGGGAAAGTCGCAGAGTTTGGTACTGACAAGTCGGTCTGCGATGGGTCGTAGGCAAGGTATTGGAAGGATTGGGTTTGACCATCTTGGTACGCATAAGAGTCCGGATACATTGCCTGTTGAGTATTCGGATCGTCGTATCCGAGAGGTTGAGAGCTGAATGCAGGGGGTATGGAAGACGTGCCGTTCTGGGTATAATCCGGCAGATTGGCTGAAGGAACTCCTATCTCAGTATGACTGAACGGCGACATGAATCAGTTTCACTCACATATTCGCGACTCGGATCCTTGGACTCTCTGAGCTTTCACGGGTGGCTGATATTCGCATTCTTGCTTGTACTTGACGCAGCTGGAACAAGCTGGTCTTTCGCCCGAACATCGCTGATCAAAAGGTCAGATTTGAATCAGATTGGCTCTTTGAAAGAGGAATGTGGACGGCTTACAAGCTTCCGTCGCCTGCAGAATTTGCATGCCCTGATGAGATGGACTCGTCAGTCTACGATCGTCGGCGCATGTACCAGCATCACTCACATTCCTCTCCGTAGTGACGTTCCTGATGGAGCTATATGTTCGACGGAAGGTAGTCCTGTGGGTCCCGAGACTATCAAGGGGTGTCGTCAGCTTCGCTCATTCGGTCATCCAGCAAATTACACTTGCATGAGCCTGAATGTTGAGTAGCGTAGAGTCGAGAGGACCCGTCTGACTGTCTGTGACGAGCGTCGCGATCAGCATATTGACCTTGACCGTGAAGCCATAGTACTGAACCAACTCACAAGTCTGATGCTGATCTGCTTCGCTCTTCTGATGGTGTTGCCGTTTTCTGGCAATATCAGCGCCGTGTGCAACCCCTCCTTCTGTGCCTTGACTGATTTCCGCAGTTTGTGTATGAAGGGTTACCGTGCAACGCGACTCACCGTTCATAGGGGCGTTGAGACTTGCAAACCGTCTATATCCTGAATCGTCTGATTCCTCTCCCTCTGGTGATCCTTCCAAAGCCAGGTTATTAGGTATATGATGTACGTTTCTCATCTCGTCGTAGGTAGTAGCAGTAGTTCCTTGTATACTTTGACGTGAAGGTGAATGTCCCGACAGTATGATGTTTGATTCAGGGGCAAGGATTGGTTGTCCATGGTGCTGTTGCTGTTGCTGTGGTGGTGGGATCTGCGATTGTTGTGCCGAGGGGATGATCTCTTGATTTTCGAAAAGCCAAGGTTGATGTTGCGGTTGCGGTGGTTGCTGGTGTGTCTGATGCGAGTATTGGTTGCTTGGATACCATGCTGATGTTGATGATGATGATGAAGATGACGCCATGTCGAGGCCATCGGCTCCTCCAAGTGGTGTCTGCCAACCATTCGGTATCTGTGATGGTCGTCGAGGTCGCGGATCTTGTTGCTGCTGTTGCTGCTGTGATTGTTGCATCATGTTGTCGTTGATTCGTTCGTTTACTACAGTAGTACGCAGCCTTCAAAGGTATGTTTCGGAGATGAATGAAAGATGGAATCTCGATATTCGGTTCGATGGTATGAGAAATGTGAATAGATAGATGTGTCGGTTGTACTCTTGCGTCGCAATGCACAGTGTGAGCTGATCTACTAGTCGATTGAATAGTTCGGGCTGAGTGGAAGGTGTGGATTGCATCGGATAGACAGGATAGGGTTGACAGTGTGGGGTATGTCTCTGGCCCACTCACTAGATCACAATGTGCCCATGGCACGAGGTCAGACGTGTGGGCAGAGCTAGCTAGCTAGCTAGCTGACTTTTACCAAGCCGATGAGATCTGTAGTGGGATCTACGACCGACTGACTGACTGCCTGGAGGCTAGTGGAAGATCAGACGATACTGTAATATGCTTTTTCCTTTAGTGCGCTTTTAGCAATGTTACAACGGTCGGCAAAAGAGGAAGAAACAGGGTGACACCCAAGGATTAGATAGATAGGGCGAGTCCCTTGGATGATGTCGGTTGGTCGGATTGCGGGGGCGCTAAGGCAGTTTTAGGCTTTTCCTTCTACAAATTGGTCCGTTCGGCGAGTCAGGGTCAAAAAGAGAGACAGAGCCAGAGGCAGAACGCAGGCAATAGTGTGGTACTGTTGGGGTGCGTGTGGGGAAGAAGAGGAGGGGTGGGAACGGTTGAGAGAGGTCTCTTGAGATTATTCGACTGTCTACTACTGAAGATCAAATACCGATCAAAGTCGCTTTGTCCTCTGAATACAAGCATACATGCACATTCAACGTGATGTGATTATTTATCCCATATTACAACGAACGAATGAAAATGACCCGGTCTGGGGTACGACAAACGTACGTACGTTGGGCCTGGCCTGATGTACTCTCTCTCTCTCTCTCTCTCTCTCTTAAGTGTCTGCTCATCATGATGCGACTGCCGGAAAAGCTTAAGTGCTTAAGTGCTTGTTGCTTATTGCTTATTACCCATTATTCTGGAGCGTAAAGCCAAAAGTCACAAAATGAGGGATTTACGCCGTAAGCCGAAGCTTTTGCGAACGCCGAGGTGGTAAGAGTGTGACTGGTACCTTAGCTTGTCAGGGTTTACAGCACTTTAGATTACCTCAATTCCGGAACAGGTACATACACCCCATTCATATGACTACATAATACTCCCTTTGACGGCGTTAGGCGGTGCGGTGCGGCGTGGTGCAGTGGGATTTCGGTGGATTACGACGCCTCTCCTCTATGGACTTGAGCCTCATAGAGCATGACGTTCACCGCTATCGCCCCCGTACTCCTGCCGACGCCCTGCTGATCAGCTTAGAGGAGAAGTAACGCATTCACAGAAAGACGAAAAAATAAATAAGATATATGAGCATTGCCTGCATCAACGTAACCGCAAATGTCGGAGGAGCGGTCGGGCATATTTGGGCAATTGGCTTTTCACCTGACTGGGGAAACTAGGTATTATTAACAAACAGCAGGCCATGACAAATGGGAAAGATGCAGTACACTTGTTCAAAGCGATCCATACAACTCTGACTTCGCTCGATGAGCTTACAGAGTGTGTCTCCGGGGACGATGTCCAGATAGACCTGAGCTTGCGCAGACATCGAACAAAGTACACACTAATGTCTCGGATGTGTTCTCTGTAAATCAGTCTAACGTCGCCGCAGACGGCCTGGTGACTGCTAGCTGGTAGGCTAAGGGGTCGTTCCTTCTATGCACCTCAGAAACACTGTGTGTAAGCTTATTAGCCCAGATCTCAGGTAGACAGTGCATTCCGCTGCGTTTCGCCGAGGCCTGTCTCTTCACATTCGGGCTTGTTGGCGTTCTGGTGTGACCCCGAGGCACGAAGGCAGCTCACAGCTAATAAGTCGTACAGGCAAGAAGAACGCGGCGAACATCCACAGACCCTGATAGAATTCGCCTGGATGGCACTGGCACCGATAGCTTTGACCTGGTCCAAGTCGATTGTCGGGCAGCGCTTATCTCAATCCTATACACTGCCTCGGCGTCAGCCTCGGGATCATAGCAGTGGTCCACGCATCTGAGTGGATGCCAAGGCTTTGGATCCTGCGCAAACTCTCAAGCCATCCCCGTTGGCGGCCGTGCCACAATCCACAGAGGAATGATCCGTACTCTACCAGGTGATTGATGAAAGGATCCAAGTGGCACCTCGGCGTCACTCCACTTATGCGTCGAGCGAGGATCCCTTTCATGGTGGTCCCTATATTCTACCTGGACATTCCTTTGACGAGCTTCGAGCGTTCTGTAGTTCTCGCCTAAGCTGCTGCTTGCCGAGCTTGAACGCAGCTCGTATACGCAACCGAAATCTCCTCGATCGGCGAAGATTTGGCCCGGGGCTCAGCTGTGAAGGAACGATATCGTCTGTCTCGCTCTCAACGATCTGAACTCACGAAGTTGTGGCAGCCAGACCCTTGCCCTCATTGAAGCGTATTGTTGCTTCTGACTGCGAGGTGTGGCCGCCCTTTATCACATGACTGAATGTCCACGCAGCGCGAGTATCTCTCTCGCCGCCTGCAAACAGGAAGCAGCGGAAAAATGCGGGCACACACCTCATCATCACTCACTGAACGTGTACCAAGTTGGTCGTGCAACTGAATGATTTCGCAATGTCGCTGTACTTCTGATATACATAACGCGCTCAACCGGGTGTACCGAGTCTCTACGTATGATTCTCTCGACTGGTCCCCTATCTATCCCTTGCTACTGTGTCTGTTTCGGAGATCCCTCATGATCGTGATTATTCGCTCGCCGCTGCAGATTTATCCCCCGACGGCCGATGATCATATCAATCACGCTGTTTCAGTCCTTTCAAGCACATGGATATCCCATCAATCCTCCTTTCGAGCACTGTACTACACTACATATACCGCGAGATGAGGATGATACCGGGGGATCAGGCCTGCATGCGGCCAATGCATATATATGATCGAAGGGAGTGTAAGAGATGAATCCGAGCTGTTTCAGGGATACATATACTATGTAGCTGATTTCGGCTTGAGAGGGGAATCACCCTGCGAAAATAAGCCCGTGTGGCTCAGTGGTAGAGCGCCTGACTACGAATAAGGGTTTTTACTCGATGTTCTTATCAGGAGGCCCAGGTTTCGAACACCTGCTCGGGTTCATTAAACGACTTTTTACCCTTTTTTTCTTGCTTCTTTCACCGAGGCGATGTGGCTCCGGGTGCCCCCTGCCTTTTCACCTCATTGGATCGACTTCGCCTCTAGGAGGATCGATGAAGAGGGCGCGAACATCGTTGCAAGTTGACTTCAAACGAGTACCAGACCATGCATAATCTGCCCCGAACAGCCTGAAGAGCGGGAAGGGGGAAAACGAAACAATAGACGCTAACGAAAAAAGACTGCGAGTCGCGGCTGTGTTTCTTTGTGAGACGGTGTATATCATACATATATATAGGAACGTTTCCCCTAATATACTCAGCACACATCGTTTGTGCACGCATGTTTTATGCATGGGCATGATCATCCTGAAGCATGAGGAAAGGGTATCAGACTCGGCGTGTTTCGCGCAACGACCGAGTGAGCTGATATGATTGAGAATCGGACCATAAATCGCTGAGAATGGTGATCAACACTTTCATATGGTGGCGTTCGCGCGTCACCCGGTACAGCCAGACTTGGCACCCCAACAACCATGTCACGGATCAGCAAATACCACTCCATCCTTCCTCCTTCCTTGCTCATATCTCGTATCAGAATTGCGGTAACACCGTAATGCCGATCACAGCACCGGAATCGTCCACACGCACGCAAGCCTGGACGCACGCAAAACCCCGTGGGCAGAGGATGAATGACCCTTTTGATCCGCCTGATCTCGCCTAGGCTGGCTCAGCTTAGTCCATTCCAGCGTGGCGTGTGGGTAAGCGGTAAGCGGTACGCGGTACACCTCGGAGCAACCGATCAAGGAAACAAGGAAACAAGGAAGGAAGAAAGGAAGGAAACACGCAATCGGCGGACACCTAGTCCAACAGTCCAGTCAACCGCACACTCTCGCAACTTGCATGGAAAGGGAAAAGGAAGATCACATATCACATCACATACACATCTCGCGGAAACAAAGACAAGCAGGACACAGTAGCCATAACTACTTACGACACGACACATATACTCGACATACTTACAAAAGAAGAGACTGTTCAAAAACCCCCCCCTTCACACATGATCAAACCTCAATTCACTTTCAACACCATACATCATCTTTCTCTTTCTTTTTCATACATAAACAAACAAGAGATACCTCGTTCGACAAATAACAATCCATCCTCAAGTGATACATAATGGGTACGTCCATTGTTCTATGCATAGGAAGAAGAGCAAGAGACACGATGCTGATGTATTCGATGCATGCATGCATATACAGCCCGAACCAAGGTGAGCTTTCTTTCGAAATCATTGATCTGTTTTGTGAAGGAATGGAATCGAAGAGGATCGGGAGAGGAGAGGAAAGATTGCGCATGCATACACACCACACCACATCACACCACAAACAACTCGCGCTCAACGGCAAATCACCCTTCCTCGCCATTAACATCTCTCCTTCCGCCACCATCCTCATATCTTCAATGTTCTATGCATCGTCAAGCTTCCTTGATGAATGAGATGCGTGGATCTACGGTAGAGGGGATGGGATGGATGCATAGAGAGTGATGATGCCTGTTATTCTTTTGCCACCCGAACTTATCCCTACCCTCACTCTCCCAACTTACAACATCGTCTATACATCACATCCTTCCATCATCTTTCCTTCGCATGTATAAGCAAAGTAGACGTTGAAAATGAAAGACAGATCTAACCTATATGTGTCTCATAGCAAACCGCTCGAAAGTCTACCGGTGGTAAGGCTCCCCGAAAGCAGCGTGAGTCGATTCATCTATCTATTGTTCTCGTCTATCGTGCGCACGTCAAACATCGCTAATCACCTGCAAAAACACCTCATTTCTTCTCTGTTATTCCACAACACTGCACCATGAAACGATTCTTTATCAATCACAGTCGCCACCAAGGCTGCCCGAAAGCAGGCTCCTTCCCAGGTCACCGGCGGTGTTAAGAAGCCTCACCGATACAGGCCCGGTACCGTCGCCCTCCGAGAGATCAGGCGATACCAGAAGTGAGTGGGCGAGCCACTACATCAGTTCCTAAACCCTTCATCCACCGATCTTCCTATCCGTCCATCCTCTCGGTTCTACGCAAGCCTGCGATTGCCGTTGTCATATGAGCATACAGTTTGCTAACCTCTGGTGTGTGTCGCACAGGTCCACCGAGCTCTTGATCAGGAAGCTCCCCTTCCAGCGACTCGTCCGAGAAATCGCTCAGGACTTCAAGACTGACCGTGAGTTGGCGTTGTCGTCGTCGCCTCCTCCCTCTGACGTCGCTCATCTTCAGACAAACAACCCATCAAACTGACATTACCTGCCTTCCTGTTCCGACCGACGTTTCATTAGTCCGATTCCAGTCCTCTGCTATCGGCGCTCTCCAGGAAGCCTCCGAGGCTTACCTCGTCTCCCTCTTCGAGGACACCAACTTGGCCGCTATCCACGCTAAGCGAGTCACCATTCAGCCTAAGGACCTCCAGCTCGCCCGACGACTCCGAGGCGAGAGGTCTTAAGCGGTTCAGCTTACCATGCTATAGCACACAGCTTAGCGTAGCGTAGCGCTACCCAGCGTTCGCCTTTCTCTTTTTGACCGGAACCGGAACCGGTCCATTATGCTTTGATATGATACGATACAATACAATTTCTCCCCTTTCTTCGATGTTCTTCATTTTATTTCTTTTGTTGCTCCTGTGATCTAGTATCTTTTTTCGTATTTCAAATTGTGAAAACGTAGATATACATCATCATCATCACGAGAAAAAAAAAAACGAGCAGATCCCCAATTTGTCAATTCAGCCCTTCGTTCTTCGCTCTACCTTGTTTATATAAATTCTTCCTATCGCTCATTTAAAGCTGAGATCCCTCGCTGAGCTGGAATGGAATGAAATGAAATGAAATGTATCCTTTGTGAAATGTAAACGGTGATCTGCCTGCAGGTGGCTTTGAGCCTCAAACTGTCGACTGGAGAACAAATGTGCTTCGTACTGTGATACCTGTCGCGTTCGGAACTGTTGTGAAAGCTGGCTCAAACTCCGTCCGAAAGCGATATGGGCTAGTCTAAGAATCTTGGCTCACATACTAGTACAAAACTCATATAATACAATCATCCTCGTAGACTATATTGTCTATCCGTCTTGATGTACTGTCATCCCGAGCGTGGACCTATCGACTCCCCTATACGCTGTCCATCATCATCGACTTGCATCCCTTCCTCACCCTCTTCTCTCTTCTCGTGCGTCGTCCGATCACCCGCCTTCCCAGCCCCATCACCATCCGCGTTTGCATTCGCTGTCGCCTCCGCCCGCATCGCTCTGAGCGCATCACCCATCTCACTCAACACCCTCGCTTCGATACGACTAGCGTAAAGTCCCAACTCAGGTCCATTTCCATCGCCTTGTTCTTCTTCGCCATCTCCCGCATTTGCGCCAACAGCGATAGTCGAGCTGGACCCAGAGCCAAATGGAGGGATGGTAGATGCGAATGGAGTTGGAATATTATGTGCTTCGGGCGGACATAGTGTTGATGGGCTCACACGGGTTTCGCGCAGGTAATAGACAGTTTGACGAAGTACGAATTGGATTTTCTATCCATATCACACATATAGTCCCGCACCACGTCGATCAGCTTAGTCAGCATTCACGTCAGGATGAGAGGTACGGTACCGATATTCTGTCCACATTACAATGAGGGTAGTGATTGATATCGTAGAATCTATCCCAAGAGGAGGCCTTAATACGGATGATGGTTGACTTACATCAAGTAAAGTCATATATCGCTCCACACCTTCTCGAGCCAACATCCCCGTTGTCTCTTCATCGTACTGCATGCCTCCTCCGCTTGAGCTTGAGCCCGGTGCGGGCGCTACAAGATGCGCGAGGATCGGTTTGACTGATAAGAGCAATTCGGGAATTGCCTGTAAAAAGAATACACAACGACTTTGTTAGCCGAGGACGCGAGACGCACCAAGAGGCAGCATTGGTCCTGTTTGAGTTGGCACAGAGTACAATAGAATACCTCGAGATGAGTGGGACGTAGGTACATGAGAGTTCGGAAGATGAGAAGAAGATGGTAGCGCGATTGAGAGGTTCTAAGCCACTACGAGCTCACCTTTTCCACGTTGGTCAAAGCTCTGAACAACGAGTCAACATCGAGCGATTCGAGATCCAGTCCGTCCGATACGGACGCAGCGGGGGACGACATTGTCTCGTCTCGTTTCGTCGAGTTGCTTCCCTCTGGCCTGGTTTACTTCTGATCGAACCAGTATAGTGACTGTGAATGCGGCTTGCGTTTCGGTGCTCCGTCAACGTCAAGCTGATCGATTCGCTTCGAATATACTAGTACCGCTGGTAGTAATCGTTCATGGACGGTCGAGAGAGGGTGAGGTCGTCTGAGAGCCAGACTGGGGTTGGATTGGTGCTGTTGCTTGAGAGCCAGACTGGGATTGGATTGGTGCTGTTGCTTTTTGCTTTTGTATCATATTGTATCCCTATCTTCATCTATCGACAAACCGGCAAGGCAAATAAGCAGTAGCAATGGCAACGAGCAACCGCAGCAGCGCCTATGCCCATAAACATTGGCTTGTGATGACCGCCAACCGTGGGAGAGTTGTTATTGGATACTATGACGGACGCTACTTGATACGCGTACGGTGCCTGTTCAGTCGTTAGTCGCTTGTTGGCTGTTTCCAAGTTGAAATTCCTTCCATCCCATCGTTCTTCATCTACATATCTGATATATATGTCATAGCGTCTCTCTCTTCTATCCTCTTATCGGTACATCTAGGCCAGACGAACCACTTCAGAGCCGATCGTGATTGTGCAAAGCAAACATGGCTTCTACACCCCTTCCAGTCACTCAAGCGCCCGCAACCGTGCCAGCGCCGGCTTTCATGCCCTCTGCAGCGATGCCATATACACCCCGCTTCAATGTCAAGCAAGGGCGGAATACCAATACGATAACCATAGGCTCATGGACTATTGAGAGCACTAAGAAACCGATATTGAACGGTAAA